CTGGCTTCAAACCCTGGCTTCACCAATATACATATAAGTGTTATCATGCTCACTAAACACAACCCCACAAAAACAGCATGACTGTGTCAGACTGTTATAGTAATGACGGGCGTGCCGTTATGAGGAGAAGACGGTGGGCAGAAGATTGCTATCCCACTGGGATCTCTCTCCCCTGTCCCTCTCGCCATCTATTTCTCCCTGACTCTTCCCGTTCTCTTGCTATTCTCCCCTCCCTCAATCTCTCTCTTGCGCTGGCGGGTGCCTTCGGTCATGAACAATCGTCAATTGCCCTCCCTCCCTCCCTCTCTCTCTCTCTCTCTCTCTCTCTCTCTCTCTCTCTCTCTCTCTCTCTCTCTCTCTCTCTCTCTNATCTCTCTCTTGCGCTGGCGGGTGCCTTCGGTCAGGAACAATCGTCAATTGCCCTTGCTCCCTCCCTCTCTCTCTCTCTCTCTCTCTCTCTCTCTCTCTCTCTCTCTCTCTCTCCCCTCTCTCCCCCCCCCAACTAACCACTCGCAGTTTTCCTTTTCTTCCTTCTCCATTGCCTCCCTTCCGCTTGGCTGATTCCATCTTCCAACTTGCGCCCTCCATCCCCCTCCCGTCCACGTTTCCCCATGTTATTCTCTCCTTGTCCTGTGCCAGTCACCACTCCTTTCCCTCTTTCTCCACGCCTTTCTCTCCTCAGTTGGGATCCTCTTCGAGATCCTCTCTCGATATTGGACGTGGCCCGTGCTTCCTCTCTTCACCCCTGTCGCTCTTTCTCTCTTCATTGCTCTCTCTCCATCACCTGCATATACACCTTTACCCTATCCCTCTCGTCATTATCCTGCTCTCTCCTTTCCTTGCCTGTTCCCTCCCCTCTGCTCTCGGATCCTCTTCCTCCCTTGCAATGCATTATTTCCCACCTTGTTCGGATCCCCTACATGACCAGCATTCCTTATCCTTGGCCTCCTTTCCCCTGCACTTCATCGGTTCCTACGTCCTCACCCTGATTGGCTGACATTCCGACCTCCTCCTCTTGATCCCACATCCTGACCGTCCCAATCCACTCTGCCCATGATCCCACATCCTGACCGTCCCAATCCACTCTGCCCATCCACTTTGGGTCCCCGACCTATATCCTCCTCCGATTTACTTTAGGACCCTCCTTGACGTCTTCCTATTCTTAGGACCCTCCTCGACGTCTTCCTATTCTTAGGACTCTCCTCGACGTCTTCCTCTTCTTAGGACCCTCCTCGACGTCTTCCTCTTCTTAGGACCTTCCTTGACGTCTTCCTCTTCTTAGGACCCTCCTCGACGTCTTCCTCGTCTTATGACCCCCCTCGACATCTTCCTCCTCCATCCTCCTCCGATTTACTTTAGGACCCTCCTCGACATCTTCCTCCTCCACAACCTCCTCAACCACGACAAACTTACCCTGCATGCTTGACCCTATGGTGATGATTCTCCTGCTTTCTCAGTTGCATCCCATCCTGACCGATCAAAATCCCGCTCTCTCATCCTCCTGATCCCGCATCGTCACCCTCCCCCTCCGCCCTTCTCCTGCTACTACATCTTTCTCGAGTTTTCAACGGCGGCTTTCTCCTGCCTGCACGACCAGGGACTTGACCTCCCCATAGTGTTCCTTCTCCCCCTGCCTCTCCGCACTCACGGGATGATCCCCAGTCCTTCCAATAGCGGCCGTTCACAAATCCAGTTCCACTTGCAACATGGCAACCCACAAAAAATGGAGTTGCAGCCCTAAGCTTGGGTGGAGGAAAGAGGAAAGGCGGGATGTGGAGAGAGAGAGAGAGGGCGCACTTCGCACATGCCGGGCGAACCCACCTAGTTGGTTTTGGGGTCAAGTGTCGGAATCCTCCACCTCTTCTCGCACAACACCACTAAGAGAAAGAGGGAGGGAGGGAGGGAGGGAGGGAGGGAGGGAGAGGGCGGGTGGGAGGAAGAGAGGGTACACTTCGCTACGCCGCGGCCCGCGAGGACTCACCTATTTCCTTTTTGGGCTGAGTGTAAATGAAACGCTGCACATCTTCAGGCACAACACCGCAGGCACACACACACCTGTCTCTTATACACATCTAGATGTGTATAAGAGACAGAGGTTGGTCACCTCGTCAAGCAGCGAGGCAAGGGGCACGTAGACTGAATCACACGATCTGACAAGACTAACAGGTAATCTGCTCACGAAAGT